TTAAGTTTGTACATTACAATTATACGAGTCGTTTTGAAGTAGAAACTAGAGTTAAGTTTGTACATTACAATTATACGAGTCGTTTTGAAGTACAAACTAGAGTTAAGTTTGTACATTACAATTATACGAGTCGTTTTGAAGTATAAACTAGAGTTAAGTTTGTACATTACAATTATACGAGTCGTTTTGAAGTACAAACTAGAGTTAAGTTTGTACATTACAATTATACGAGTCGTTTTGAAGTACAAACTAGAATTAAGTTTGTACATTACAATTATACAAGTCGTTTTGAAGTACAAACTTTATACAGTTGAAATTTAAATGATAATCTCAAGTTTAAGCCTCTTCATGCATATATATGTCAGGGCCTCGAGTTTAACGCGATAACACGGCCTGGCGTTTCATGCATAATTTACACATGACAGCATAATGAAAGTCTGAACTTTTAGTCATAGTAAAATCAGGTCTAGGTCAATGTTACCAGACTTATAACTTTTGACTTTGTTTCTTGGCAAATGGGGCCTACTTGCCAGATAGTCTGATTAACGTCCTGTTAAAAGATTTTTTAGAGTTTTAAACTGTCTTTTTTGTTGTTGTTGTTATTATTTCATAAAAATTAAAATGCTAAATTCCTGATGTTTGTGGAATTATATTAATTATGTCTAGCACTCTTTTAAATGTTCATATTTTAAGCTGTTATTTTTATTGTAGATAAGTATTGAATAATTTATAATTTTGCGACATAAGAACAAGAGCTTTCATAAGTGTTTAAATATATATTTAAATAAACTAAACAAGGTAAATTGGTGGAGGTAATGTATTAAGATATGGAAAAGAACGATCAAATTTGTTGGCTTTGTAATTTTTTTATTGTCTCATTGATAACATAATAGTTGCTTTATATTGTGTATTTTAGTAACTAAGCCTGACAAAGGGCATACGCCTAAAACGTAGCAAATAAAACATGTTTTTGATATAGACGTGTCTTGTAACTTTTTCTAATGCAAACAAGGCCTAACACAGTCGCCTTATCGGCAAAACGAAACTTGATATGCAAAATGATATAACTAAGCCTACATATTCGATGACGAGGAATCCAATTTGAAACTAATAATGGTTGGAGACGGCTTGAATGGGTAATGAAGAAAAACTTTAACATAATGTTACGTCTCCGTTTGTTAATTAACTTTCCGTAACTTCGTTCCAACGAAACTTTAATGACACAAGTCTTTACTTAATAAAACTGGTTTATTCTTTCCGAATATAACTCTGCGATACACTTAATCTCAATACTCGCGCTAAAACAACACTGTGTTACGTCTCCGTTTCGTTAATTGATTTTTCCGTAACTTCGTTCCAACGAAACTTTAATGACACAAGTCTTTACTTAATGAAACTGGTTTATTCTTTCCGAATATAACTCTGCGATACACTTAATCTCAATACTCGCGCTAAAACAACACTGTGTTACGTCTCCGTTTCGTTAATTGATTTATCCGTAACTTCGTTCCAACGAAACTTTAATGACACAAGTCTTTACTTAATAAAACTGGTTTATTCTTTCCGAATATAACTCTGCGATACACTTAATCTCAATACTCGCGCTAA